ATCTACGCACTTGATTAAGTTTTTTGCAGATAAGGACCAGAAATTCTATGAGCGCGAGATCATGAAGTTACCAGAAAGATGGTAAAAGGTCATCGAATAGAATGGAAGATATTTGACCGATTAAAGTTCATTTACTGTATAGAAAAAATTGAGTTTTATTTCAAACTAAAAAACCGAAAGTACTTTCTTGCCAACCCAATATAATATATAATTGTTTTTAAATTAAACTAATCGTTAAAAAAAAGGCACGAGGTTTTCTTTACCTGTCAATTTGACAGGTGTCCTTAGAAATAAGTATACAGATAGCGACCGTAAACCTAGTGTTAAATGGTATACCACGAATGATATGTCGACTTGTCTAACAGTGCAAATAATAGTATGAATAATTGCCAATATTTTTTTTTTTTTTAGATTAAATAAAATTGCTCTATTTTATAGTCTTGAACACTGGTAAAAGAAACGTTCGCATAATAATAAACATCCAAAAATTAAACGAGGAACGACAAACACCTAATACGAAAAGTGTAACAACCCTCAACATGATGTAAAATAAATGATAATTAAAGAAATTAAATAAAATTATACTTCCATGCCAGATAAAAATATACTATATTAGTAAGCAATTTGTACACGCTATGGAAATTTTACTAAAAAAATTTAACTCGAAATACAACAAAAATATTTTTCCAAATGTCCAAAAATATTATTTCTATTCCCCCAAAAATAAAGAAAAAAGGAATATCGTGTTTCTAAAATTTGAACGGTGGAAAAATAAAACTCTATGTACCAAAAATATTCTTCGTAATATCCAAAATTATTCCTACAAAAAAAAAAAGAATATAAAGAAAGAAAATACCATAAGGTCCCAAGTATTGAAATACTGAAATATTCAAGATAGTCGAAATTTTTATTCCTTTGAAAAAAGGAGAGAAGCAAAAACTGTGTCTCTAATATTCGAACAATGGTAGAATAAAACTGTGCAATTTTCAATTCGCAATTTTGCTCGTTGAAATCAATGCGTAACACCTTGCACGATTTTCCCCGGCAACGGTAGCGTGGAAACACGAGGGAAACTGCTGGCAGCAATGATACGCTGGCAACAAAAAGGTACCAATTAATCCCAGGATTTCCTTCCTCCATGCCGGGACACGTTCGATCCGTGAAGCGGAAAGGGGTTTCACGTGCTCGATAATTCCAGATTCACGAGGACGATGTCACGGGAGAAGGAAGAGAAGGCGGAGGAGGAAGCCGGGGAGGTTCCATCCGTGATTCCGGAAGCGGAACGACGCGCTTCCTGGCCTGTTCCAATTACTTCTTGGCCGTTTCGAATAAGAAAAAACACAGAAACCCCGTCGCAAATGGGGGAAAAAATGTAACTCTCGTTGAAACGGTAAAAAAATTCTCGTCCACGATTGACAATTTTTGACACTGAACCTACCACCGTTTAAATGGCCGTTTCAAAACTTTTAACCAAAAATTCCACACCCGACAGTGGTCACCTGGTTTCATGATCCCCCTTTTGATATACCTATGATCAGTTTCTCGATTGATCCTCTTATACCATTTTTTTTTTTAAATTTTCCCTCCTTTAATTTTTCATGAACCAATCAATTGACAGGAAATGGCAGAATTTTGCATAGATGTTGTATTAACCCTTTGCACTCGGCGATTCTTTCGTTACAGAAACATAGTAATTCGAAGACTTTCTGCCATAAAGTCGAGGATAATTTTAAAACGGTAAATAAGAAATCGTATGCAAATTGAGTAATTTTAGATGTGATATGTTAATTAACATCGATCTCTAGAATACGATTAAATGGCGACTGAGAGGCGCCTCTCGAGTGCAAAGGGTTAAATTTACGGCGATATATCTTCTGAAATTTTCTATTACCCTTTATAAAGGATATATTTTGTCCAAAAAAGGGTTGGATTAATTATATCGATGTAAAGTGAGTTTCCTTTCCTGAATTTTTCATGAATCTGTCGTTTGACAGGAAATGGCAGAATTTTGCATTGAAGTTGTATTAAACCTACAGGGATATATCTTCTGAAATTTTTTATTACCCTTTATAAAGGATATATTTTGTCGAAAATAAGTTGAATTAATTATATCGATGTAAAGTGAGTCTTCCTCCTTTAATTTTTCATGAACCTGTCATTTGACAGAATATGGCAGAATTTTGCATTGAAGTTGTATTAAACTTACTTACAGCGACATATCTTCTAAAATTTTCTATTATCCTTTATAAAGGATATATTTTGTCGAAAACAGGTGGATTAATTATATCGAGTCCCCAATTAGAAGTTCAATATTCCACGAATGATATCTGCTAGATCACTCGGAGTTCGCGAGAGGTTGCTACGCGATTCGATGAGAGATTCCACGGATACGACAAAGAAAAAGCGACGGACAGGCTTCGTTACGGGATCCGGTCGAATATTAAGATCACGACCGATGATACGTAACCCCCTGAAGAGTTTCTGAATCATCGGGCCCGAGTTTGCCACCCCCGAGGAATTTTCAGAGAGACAATGGACCGTCTGCGTCGCGACTCTCTCGCCAGATAAGAAATGACGCGATTGTCGATAGGGAACGCTCATTTTTCCACTGCGAGAACCGCAAGAGGCATCAGATAAACCCTCCACGAATCCCAGATTGCCCTTTTCGACGATCAATTTCAGATACAATTCTCGCGTTACGTTTATCCCCGAGGTGGAACAGGAATTCCAACTTCCACGGCGCGAAAATAACCAATAATAAAAATTCCCAAATAAAAATCCCTAGCGATTCTTCCCTTTTCTTTAAACCTACCGTCTCTACCGTCGAACAGGAATTCGAACATACACAGCGAAACGCCGCGAAAAAGTAACCAATAATAAAAATCCCCGAATAAAAATCCCTAGCGTTTCTTCCCTTTTCTTTAAACCTATTGTTTCTACAGTAGAACAGGAATTCGAACATACACAACGAAACGCTGCGAGAAAATAACTAATAATAAAAATCCCCAGCGTTTCTTCCCTTTTCTTTAAACCTACTGTTTCTACCGTCGAACAGGAATTCGAACATACACAGCGAAACGCTGCGAGAAAATAACTAATAATAAAAATCCCTAGCGTTTCTTCCTTTTTCTTTAAACCTATTGTTTCTACCGTCGAACAGGAATTCGAAAATCCACAGCGAAACGCCGCGAGAAAGTAACCAATAATGAAAATCTCCAAATAAAAATCCCTAGCGTTTCCTTCCTTTTTTTAAACCTATTGTTTCTACCGTCAAACAGGAATTCGAACATCCACAACGAAATGCCGCGAGAAAGAAACCAATAATAAAAATCCCCAAATAAAAATCCCTAGCTTTTTTCCTTTTTCTTTAAACCTACTGTTTCTACCGTCTCGAATTAACGAAAAGAAACGGAAGAAAAGTTGGAACGAGAGCTTCGAGGTCCCGAATCCTAATAATTCGTGTACCCCTAATTTGCTGTTTCCACGGTACCATTTTATACCCGTAAATCAACTTCTAACCACGGTTTCCATCGTCAGAAAACTGTGCATAGGTACCGCGACAGGGGCAGGCCATTATGCAAATGCAATATAATAACCGAAAGGTTGAGCACAGTGAAGAAATTACGCGAAAAGACGCATCGTCGTCCTTTCGCGAGCTGGTACCGACGAGGACGAGGCGATCACGGCTCCCAGCCTCGATTCTAATTGTTTAAGAATTGCGCGAATCGCGACCAATTAGCGGCATGCACCGTAGGCTGGGCACGGAATCCGGCTACGTAAGGGCTAACCGAAATGGCCGAATAATTTAAATTAATAGGACAGCGGAGGACGGCTGATAGCCGGTTCACCCCGACTCCAAGAAACTTCTTTAACGTCCTCTTTCTCGTGCGGCTAAAGTCCTCGATTACACGCTTGATACTTCGCGCACGCCACGTGAATTCCTCGTCCGTGGGATTTCGAACTTCAGATTTTACGTGATCCTCTGCTTGCTTGTGGTATGTCATACGTATGAAATTGATTTTTGCTCGCGACGTGGAGGAAACTTAATCGGTGCTAATTACAATTTTTTCTGTATGTTTTACTATAGTACATGTTGCCCTGAATATACCTCAATTGCTATCGGTCTACTTTGCTAAACTGTGGAGCCTCTAATTAAATTACTTCGCGTGGTACAAAAGTCTTAGGCTTTTGCTTAATTTGCTTAATCTATATAACAATTTTTTGAGTAACAATATTGTTTGTAATAATAATATTTCGAGTAATAGTGGTCTTAATGCTAGATTGATGTAATACTAAATTAACTTAAAAGCGTGTACTCACCACGTCCTCTAGGAGTGCATGGGTCATCGCTGCAGCAGACACACGAGCACACATGTATACGTACGTATAAAGACTACGCGCTTGTTTTAATTAAATCGTTAATTTTCCACGGGCTCCCTGTGACGATAGCTATTTCACAAGTTTCCGAAAACTTGGCGAACTCGAGCGTCCCACGACTTTACGCGAATCAGCTAATTTAAACGAAGACGTAGCACGACGATAACGTTCTACGCTAGTCGCCGTCGTGATACGTTAAGAAATTGTCTGCGAGTCTTTTTAAACTTCTGACGAGCTAAACTCGACGGAAGTTTAATAGAACAGAGCAGACTTCCTATTATAATTTCGAAAATTTGCACGACACCCGAAAAACCGTCGCCGAGGGACGAAACGTCTTTGAGGGGACGCAGTTCGAGTCTAACGTCCTTCTGTCACGAGAACGCCGTGAAAACTAAATGCGTAGAGAATTCAGAGAAATAGATAAGAGGCGCGACGCGGAACGGGCGACTGTATTTACATTCCGGATTCAACGACCTCGACGTGCGAACTGAGTTATAAACACAGGGAATAATAGGATCCTAAGCAGGCAGCTCTATTATGCGATGTAAATGGAATTCTCCATTTGGGTTGGGAACGACATTGTAAATATGTAGGTTTTGAAAACAAAAAATTGTTAAACTCACCGACGTGATGGTCGTGCCATGCTAGGACGCCACACAGGAGAGCCAGTGTTTTTCCAGTACCTGTTGGGCTTTCTAAGAGGCAGTTTTCCATTTTTGTACAACCTTGTATGAGCTACGAAAATATAATTAACACCTTTTATTAATAAAACGATTTGTTAATAATTAATATTTGAATTAGATATTTCAGGTTATAAAGTTGTTACCTTACCTTGCTCATTACGGCAATCTGGCAAGAATAAGGCTTCACTGGAAGTTTCACTTTGATCCCGGATATCATCTGCTCGTGCTGTATTCCAACTTCAGGTGCAGCTTCTTCCATGATATCATTTGGCTTACTTTTACTTGGCGGTATACTAGCATGATTGTTTCTATACTTTTTATTTTCATATCCTTGTTGAATGGATGTTGACTGTTGATCGTACTCATCAGGAAAAGTAGAATTACTGCGCTTTTTCGTCTCATTTTTACTTAAGTTTAACTTCCTTTGATACCAATTAAACATTGACACCTTAGGTTTTGAATTTATGTCATGTGAGGACTCTGCAACTTCTTCGTCTGATTGTATACTGTCTGTAGATTTTTGAAATTGATTCAGAGTCTCTTCATCATACACTTTATTCTGCATTTGCGAATCTATGGGTTCGCTGTCACTTTCTACTATTTTATATTCCTGAGAGATGTCACTTTCATCGCTAGATATCTCAACAATATCATTTATTCTTCTTGGAGGTACATTACTACACTCGGACATGCCATCTGTCAACTGACGTCTCTTTAAGCTCAATCTACTCATTCTGTAAACAGAAATATGTACAATAAAGTGGAATCATTAACAGGAAGTTTACAGGTGTTTAGATATGTACTTTCAGATAAAAAAACAATTATTGTAAAACGATAAATTCTTTTTAACAAAATTCATAAGGTGTCATGTAAAATAAATACCAAAATGATGTATACAAGTGAAGCAACAAGCTACTATAACCTCACAAAATACACACTATCACGTGTACTACAACATACCTGGTATTCTCAAGCCAATCTTCTAACTTTATTTTAATTGCAGTATAAATAATGAATCCGATCACAGCCGTAATTACATATATCACAAGCATTGATTAATATTAATTAAAGCGATAAACAATGTAATAGACATTACGTGCAACGTTATACGGTAACACGTTTCCCGCCTTCATGAGTCTTCGGAAGCATGCTTTCTCGTAAATTGTTAGACGACAATTGAGCGCGATATTTAAATTAGACATTTGCGTTTTAATATTAGTTCTATCGCACATTTATCTAAATATAACTATGAAGATATAAGTAAAACGAACAAAATCGGAAGTTAATTACACCCACGCTAAACTGATAAACGTCAAATTCTCAACAAATAGTCACGTGACTATAGTCTCACGTGTACGATATCTGAAAGTCTCTCGTGTTAAAGGGTTATTTACAATATATTTCCTAACACACGATTATTCGTTATAAAATTAACATTACATATTTTAATATATAAATGCATTTCAAATATACAGACACTTTCGAAAATATAAAAAACAAAATAAACACTCCTAGAAAATTCATTATAATATTATCTGTATATACGTTTACATGTATTTACATACGTATCTGCACATACGTAAATACGATATATTACGAAAAAAAAAAGTTCTTTCGCCACTTTCTGTTCCCCTTGGACAACGTTTCGTTAAAAGAAGCCAAATTTAACCCAGAAAAAAAAGCTGTACGTTTGGTCGTAATTCGCTTTCGCAACGTAAAAAGGATCTGCCATCAATTTTTCGTCGGCTCGTCGCATCTTCTCTGATCCAGCGACGAGCGTTTATACGGGACATTATTCCACACAGATCCCGCCGCGGAAACATAATTTCTGAAGCGAACAGGATTAGACAGGTGAAACGCAGAGTCCCTCGGAGTCTTAATTCCGATGTTGCTCGGTGACCTTCATAAAGAAGATACGTCTCCTTCTGGCAGAAGACGCACGGCGATGGAGAGGTTAGGTAAGGGAATATAATTTCCGCGTGTGATTTATGCCTGCAGGGCCGGTCCAACGTATCAAACTTCTGATTTACGTGGTTGTTGTGCCGTAGTTTCGAAAGCGGCCCCCATCAAAGGGGGCCACGGAATTTAAAAGCCATCCGGCTCGCGTGCGACTGGAATAAGGAATTTCACTCTGTCCATGGAGAAAAGCATCTCGCGCTGACATGAATCCTTATCAAATTATCCGAAATTCCCACGCGCGACTGGTTACACGCTTTCACGTCTACGTACTTACGTATCTTCGTACGGATATATACAGGTGAGTGTACGCGTCCATGTTTCCATATCGCCAGCAGCGTAGGACGCACGAGAGAGGTCGTCACGTATATGCAATGAAATTACTCAGGCCATGGAGCATTTTCAGCTCACGTACCTTTACTCGAACGATCTTCGCCGTAGAGTCCTTGCGTTTTCACACGGTTATGATGTATATCTTAATGATAACAAGCTGCACGCCAGGAATACGCCACCCTCGAACGTCTCTCGATTCGTTTCTACGAAACTTCCTTTTCAGCCACTCACTCCAACGGCAGCCTGACGTCACGGGACACTGGTCGAAGTTTCAGTCGAATCGGAAATGTTTGACGAAAGGAAGAGAGGATTAATAGGATGCAACTGTATCGACTACGTTATACGAGCCATAAACGTGTCCTTGGTCTTCAGCATTTCGGTTTTACGATCCACGAGACGTGATTTACTTCTTGCTTTCCGGCGTCTGGTCGCTTCACGCTCCGGCGAGGGATCACGTCGTGCCCGTGAGCGCTCGGTCACTCGGCTGTAAGTTATGCACAGCCAGTGTGATATCCATAAAATACGTCGAAGGGGCCGAGGAAGTCATTACTATAGGAAAGTGTGGCAAATTGCGTGTAACACCCTCCCGAAAAGTCGCAGAGCCGACCGGGCCCGGGTTTACGCGCCGCCGACTGTGCGACACGTCGATGAAACACAACTCTTTTTCCGCTTCCCATGGAATTGTCCCTAAGTGTCGGTGTACAATTGTAATCTCCATAAAACAATTAACCAACACATAAGCATCGGGCACACACTCTTGACCCGCGGTCTAATACGACCATTCGATCGCCGGTAATAAATGTTATACAAAGTTCCAATTTGTCGGAGGCTGTTTTTCAACGATCCGGCCGCGAACGAACGCGGCGCTGGTAAATAATAGCGGTGTTGTAATAACAACCGCTGGTACTTGGACGAATTAACACGAGTGCCGTTCACGGCGTTCAATTAATCAACCCGAAACAGGCCAGAGGGGGTGAGGGTTGTCGCGTGATCCCATCGAATGATCTGGGTCAGAACCGCGCCCTCCCATGACCGTGTCAATGCGTACGACGATTGCGAACGTCGAAATACCGCACAAAAGCTCTCGTCGAGGATATTCCCTGCGATTCCGAGGGACAGGGTGGCTCGGGAAAGA